CGATATTTGCCTCCAGTGCTTCTGTTTCCCGAGATCATGTCTGTACAGTCTAAACTCTTCCCCATGTTTAAGTGCTTGAAAGACAGGGACCTTGGAGAGAGCAGGGATCCCTGGGAGCAACACATTTTAGTCAGATGACAAGGAGTCAACAGGGAGGTCAGTAAATCACTAGAGTGGAAATAAAAATAGCCTGAGTGCAGCTGTACTCATTAAACAACCGCGACTGGGTGTCCAGAGGACGAAGCATCCGGTGGCAGATTCTGCAGAAAAGTTTCTGATTCCATTTGTGTTGCTCTAATCAGCCCTCGGAAGAATCGCTCATCAGTTCACTGATGACTCTGTGAGCCCGGATCTCCCAGATGAAATACAGTGAAAAGGACTGACAGCAGAGGCCTCGGTTTGATCATGTTTCATAAATTCTCCACATTAAAGCTCCGTGCTGGTGCTTAGCTTAGCGTAAAGACTGGAAACAGCTTTGTCCAAAGGAAACAAATTCTGCCTACCAGCACTAATTAACAAGTTATAGCTTGTTTGTGTAATCCATACAAAACCCTTGATAGCCAACCAACGGAGTCACTCAGCCTGGCCAAGGAATAATACTCCATTTTTTCCCCTTTAAAACCACAACTTGGTTTCACATTTCAGTTTTTGATTTGATCTGATTTGACTTTATTTTCAGAAAACTGTTCAACTGACCAGAGGTCTGATCCAGTGACACTTGTGTGGGTGTGCCAAACTTTTACTTTGCAAAGAAACTAGAACTGTCAAACTGTCAGCTAGACCACATCCAGAAGTTCCAGAGTAGTTTTTATTTATTTGGAGTCAGGTTTGTGTCCACCTGATGAATGTAACTCTAATATTCACTGTCTTGAAGCTCCGTTTTTGGTCTTTACTAACCCCTGAGGGAAAATTGCTCCACTACATTTGTAAGATTGAAGCTAACTCTGTCTGCTGTTGGTCCCAGAATAGGTGCACACCTCGTCAAAGGACTCAATTATCATAATCATACATCAACATATGTCAGCTAAGCACAGTGAGTGTCAACTGTTACACAACTGTTAAGGCTGATTCTGATGTTTTTAAGGCTAAAAACATTTCATTTTGATTGTTTTTCCACCCAAAATATAAAGTTAAATTAGAATATAAAGAGAGATTTAGTATCAGGGTCCCCAGAAAAGGTTTTTGGTGGTTTGCATTGGCTATAAATCAAAAACAGATCTGTATGGATGTTTGAGACTGAGTGAAGGAGCTTTTGTAACTGCACAGTGTGACAAACCGCCATAAAACCACCTTCCGCCTCTGCCGTCTCCCTGAACAAACACATGGGTCAGTCCTCCTGATGTGCAGGGGAAAAAGAAAAGAGTCTGACTCATGTTATTAAGAGCTACTTCTCTTGCTTCTACAGCCTCAAACAACAAGCTCAACGCAACCCGGTCACCATGGCGACTAGGCTTTGGCATCAACGTGCAGGACCAGAGGGCAGCAGCAGGAAGCTCTGTCAGAGATGCCAAGTCAGCTGCGGCAGTTTCAATCGGTTTTAATTGATTTAATGTTTTTATGGTTTCTCCTCATAAACAGATCTGCGTGTGACTGAATCAGCAGGATTAATCAGGGCGCTTCATTAGCGTCTTAATTGGACACGTATAAAATGCATAGCTGGCATTTTGTTTTATGCAGCAATCTGCTTTTCATATAAATAAATCCGATCTGAGATGAAAATAAACAAAGGGCTACAGTAACACCAGGAGAGCACCAGGGACAGAAATGTGTCTCATTTAATTACGGCTGCAGGATGACTTCTGCCACTGAGCCACATGCTAATGAAGCAGAAAGCATCCCATTGACTGGCCATGTCAGAGGTTCTCCAATTACTGGAAGTAGACTCCAGAAAACAAGTGATGCCTCCAGTGATCCTCCCCACTTTACTGCGGCTGGTATCTACCTCAAATGATCCACGCTGCCCTCCAGGAGCAGATGAGAAACACAGATCATGTGAAAGTGAGATATTCTTGCATCACCGACTCTGTGGGAAACTCCTGTGATGGCAGCAGTGTCCTCGAGTGAGTGAGCAGCGCAGATTCACATGAGACATCTACACTGAATAAAGAATATCACATCTGTCACGGAGAAATGTGTCTTTCTGGCATTAAGATTCAGCGAACGCCACATGGAGGCACCGATCTGTCGGCTGACAGGAGGGATCAGATCCACGCTCAGATACATTAAAATTCCTCCGTCTCAGAGGTGTGAACGTGTCCGACGGCACACATTAAACATCCATCTATCACTTAACAGCCAATCAATCATTAACAGAACAGATTTTACATTTTATACTCTGCAGTGCTGCTGTTTTAGGACCTGCAGCTGCAGTTCAACCTGCGTCGCCTGTGGGCTAAAAAAGCAGCAACAGTGGCAGTTTAGAGCTGCAGCTGTACAGTAAACATGTTGCAGTGTGTTCCAACTACAGGCAAAAAAACTGTAATGGCTGCTATAATTTTGACATTTGCAACACTGCAGGCAATCAGTGTAACAATTTCTAACCTGCAAGATGTACAAGTCTTGCTGACTGAAGTATATTTGCAGTTAAATCCTGGAAAGACTCGACACTGCTCAGTGTGTCACTGTGGGTCCTCCATGACTGTCCTAGTGACAGACCAAGGGGTGGTCCCTGATTCAATTAGTGGGCCCCCACTGGCATCCATGGATGCTTACAAATGGATGCCAATGCATAGTTTGTCAGGAAGGGGACTGAATAATGCTCCAAAGTCAGGCTAAATTTTGGCGAGGAAACAACTGGCATGACCATTTTCAAAGGGGTCCCTTGAACTTTCACCTAAAGATACCTAAATTAAGAAATGTGTTCTATGGATACCCACGAGTCTCCCCTAAACTTCCGAAGTTTCCTCCCAGTAAATGTTTTGTTCCTTACAATGTATGTGCTCCTTTAAATTAAAGCTGTATATTTGTCTCTTTAAGGGAAAGACATAAATTGAAGAATCAATCGCCTAATGCATGTATATTTAATTCAATTCAATTCAATTCAATTCAATAGAACTTTATTTGTTTAAGAAAATTCTTGTGCCAGAGAATGTTTCAAATTACAGTAACACTCAGTACAGTAACCATTATTCTAATGATTCACAACCAGTACCAGCCAGATAACCAGTGGGTTCTCTGGGTCAGGATCATTCAGTGGGCCCAGTTTTCTAAACAACAGAGTGTAAAATATCTGGCAAAATATACAGGAAGTGTTTTCAGGGAGCAGAAGCAAAAAGCAGTGCCGATACGATAAGTACAAGAGTTACTAAAAATGAACTAAAATGGTGAAAAACTTTTAACTGTACTAGTATAAGTCTATGCACATCTGTTAATTAGTAGTATTAACTGTAAAATAAGACTTCAAAGTATATCAGTGTGCGATTCCTCACTCACATGCACATATAGATTGCAGGTGGTGCTCAAGCACCTGCCCTTCTGGCCTCTGACTAGTAGTCGTGCCCTTTTTCAAGACATTTTATATTATTTATTGTTCATACTTTTCTATTTTAAAATTTGGCGCATGGCATCAATTCTCAATTAAAAGCTCGCTGTAATGGCCGACGGCTGTATTTAAGACTGCACGAGCCCGTGCCCCTCCCCCTTTGGCTTCCCTTGCCATAGCCACTACAGTTTAACGTAAATTGAGCACCCTGTGGAACAGCATCCACGTCTCTGACCCTGCCTTCATTGATGACAGCCAGTCAGATAACGATAGTGTTGCCCTAAGCCTCGGTATTGATCGATTCAACACTGACGTGAATTTAGACCACTGAGTGTATGGGTATTTAAACAAATTAATATGTAGGTATGTAAATGATGTGCTAAATTCCTGAGCGACCCAAAGATTTTCATTGGCCCCATCTAGCTACCCCTATGCAAAATTTCGGGGAGCCCCACTTCCAGTTTGCAAACTCCAAAACTCCTCAAAAGACAAATATAAACCTCAAAAACAGAGAAAAAAGCAGCTATAACAGACGTCAGTTGAGACACTCATTGCTTCTAAGTGTTCCAGATTAGCAGCAGCTGTTACTTTCCTTTCCTATATGTGCTGCAGGTTGACAAGTGTACTGAAAATGACCCATCAGGACCTCCTCAAAGACATTCTTCACTCTGCTGAATGTAAATGAGCGAGCTTTCAAGTGATTTATAACCTCCTCCCACGAAATGCTAATCTTTGTACATGCCTTATATTTCATATATTAAGAAAGGAGAGAAAAAAAATATGTGTCAGTGTATGAGCGCGCTCACATGTTGCCATGCACAGGCTGTGTTTCTCAAACCACCTACACGTGTGAAACCTTGATTCTACAGAGTGTCCAAGCGTGAAATTGGATGCTGTACAGCACAAATGTATCTCTCCCTCGCCCTCCTCCTCCCCCTCCTCCTCCTCCTCCTCCTCCTCCTCCTGTTGACTCCATCTCTCAGTTATGTCCCCTGTTCAACGTGTTGCAGACAGTGTAAAGACAAATGTGGCTCTTTGTGTCTCTGAAATCTCTAGAATTGAGTTTAACTGCTTACGTTAAATCTAAAAAATGTGCATTTGTAGGTTGTTTCATATATTTGACATCACAGCCATACCAATAATATTCAGATTCATTTCTCCTCATTCCAGGCAGCAATTGCTCCCAGTATACAAGTGAGTCTCCTACTGATCAAAATGCCACCAGTTTCCACTACAACGTCAACTTCCAGACATTAAAAACAACGCCTGAAATACCAAAATTCATCACGAATATTGTTGCATTTATTTTTGTCGAGCCTGTTGTTGTTGCAGCTTGTTTTTACATTTCTCAAACAGGTGATGTTTAATGCAAAAAGAGCCGCATTCACATTACACTCCTGCTTATTTCTGACCTTCTTGGTTAGATTTTGAGACAAAATGCTGTTTCTTGCACTTGAACTCTTGCACCCACCACTTCATATATTTCTGAAAAGCTTTTTATCTCGTCATGCTTACTCACCTTCAGTTTGTGTTCGTGCTCTTTGTTGACTCGAGCCAGCAGTTGGGCCTTGCGTCGGTTCAGGGCGTCGATGAGGGCGTCGCACTGCGCCACCAAACAGGCCTCAAACTCCACTCCGTTCTCCTGCAGCACAACAGACGAAGGATGAAAAGAATAAAGTGTCCAAAAGACTGAAAATATAAAGGAACTTCTAATTTAAAACATGGAGTATATAAAAGTAAAAGCAATGTTGAAAATGACCGATACGATACATTTTAAAATACTCGCAAAGTTTCCTTCGAGAAAACTTATTTAAAAAATGCATCCTCATTCGCACATCTCCCGTAACTCACCATCATATGAGGTGGGTGGATAAAATCACCATGAAGCGTCAGCATCACGCAATCACTGAGTAATGTACCAACAAATATGCCTGGTAGAGTTTGTTTTCACACACTCCAAAGTTCTACTCCTCCTCCCCCTCCTTCACCTCCTTCCTCTCCCATCCTGCATCTGCCACCTTGACGGGTCTCCCCAGAGCTTCATCTGACTGTGACGATAATCGATGAGGGCATGTAATCACACCTTCCTCCTCTCGTCAGCCTCTGAAGATGACCACAGCTTTGTCTCCACACACAGCATCTAAATCTATTCCTGGTCAATAAACTGTACTTACGCTAAGTACTGTGTGTGTGATGCCACTGGATGTAAAAGGAGGGACATTTCCATTCAAATCAATATTCTCAACTGAAAACTGTAGAAGAGAAATGCTCTGCTGTTGCTATGGTGATTCATCACTCTCACTGAATGTCGCTGCCTTTATATATTTTAGTGTTCTTTACATCCTGACAGCCTGTGTCCACATATAGAGCGTGGCATCATAAATATATTTTAAGAGTGCATCATGCTAAATGCAAAAACATCCATTACTTAACTGGCTCTAACTGAACGTTTGATATGTTGAAAATAATGGCACGCACATAAAATAGAGGACGAAAGATTGAAAAGTAAGAGTAAACCATAGATTGTACAACAATACCTATTTTGGTGTTAGGCAGACCTAGAGCTGTCTTGCTTTGGTCTGAATCAGGGACTAATTTAATTACACAGCTGTATAATTGTCTAGAGTTGAGTCGTGTTCTCACGGCAGCATTTACAAGCAGACCAGATCGAATGTCTTGCGTGAGAAAGCTGCTCTTGATTGGTCAGAATTTCCATGTGGGAAAAATCCAGGAAGTAAAGCAAACGTTGAAGAAGAGTACACTTGCAAGATAAATGTGACACTTTCTAATGTCACAATGGAGGGACAACTACGCAGGTTGATTTTAGCGCTGCTCATCGTGGACTATATTGCTGTCATTGTTCATTTTAGTCAAACCATACAGTTTGAAAACGAGGCGCGGCTCCAACTAGAAAACAATGTTTTGATGCATTGGATGTGCTGAATGTGCATATTAAGGCAGTACAGGAGGAGGTGCACATTAATAATCCTCCAGGACTGTAACATGCTCATGTTTAACCCAAACAATGTGTCATGTGACTGCAGTTGGTTCATATCCAGGTCGGAACACGTTCTCACCACAAACGAACCACACCAGAGTTTATTTGTAACCAGACTGGGACCACCTCTCCAAGACAGTCTCGGTCCGGTTGTTTCGGTGCGCACCTGAGTGTGATTGCTGTGTTCACACCTGCCCAAATGAACCGCACTGAAGGGGCAAACGAACTTGAGTCCGATTGAGCCGAACCAAACAGGGCAGGTGTGAAAGCACCCACACTGATCAAGGCAGTGGTAGACCAGCCCCTCTAAACTCCCTCTGTACAGTCGTCATGAACGGGTAAATAAACTACAGAGACCAAAACTGTTTTTTTGTACCAGGCTATAAACATGTTCTACTGTGAATGTGGGCATATTAAAATGAGGGTCTACAGTGATTAACTCACTTCAAGTGGCCATCAGAGGAACTGCAGTTTTTGGTGCTTCTGCATTGACTTGCTCTTTCAGCATCTAAGGTTTCCACTAAAGTGATTCGTGAAATCAGGTTTGAACTTGGAGTGTTGCTGTGTGTGAGCTTTGATGTCTTACTCTGAAATAGTGTCATTTTGCACCTGTCACATGCAACATCGTGCCTGGACAACGACCGTACTCCAAGCCAGGGATTACAAAATTTCGACAGTGAAATAATTCGATAAGCCTTTTTGTTTCTGTGGTGGACAGTCTGGGATCACAGCGGGGGATGAGAGATGGGTAACAAATTGCCAAGACAAGTCAGTGCATTGCTTCCAGGATGGAGGATGCAGTGGGTGAAGCAGCAGTTGTCTGCATGTGCTTGTCTGCATTAAATTACCTGGATGTGCTGCACCATGTTTCTCAGCTGGACCAGGAACTCTTTGGCCTCGGTGGCTCGGTCTGACAGGCCGTTGAGAGCCTGAGACAGCTGACCCTGTGGAGAGCGCAGAGAGAGGACATTAGAGATGCAGCAGCAGTACTGCAGATATATGGGTCTCTGCTGCATTCAATTAGCAGTAAATCAACACTCCATTTTTTAATAAATATATACTGTATATAGATAGGTGCTGAATCTTCAGGACCAGAACACAAAAAAATTATCAGTAGGGCATAACTCCAATTTAAGGATTCACTCATGCAGGGATGTTTTGTGCGGACGCCTTCTGCAGGATGCAAACTGACAAGAATGTTACAGTCAGCTATGTGACGTACAGATATGCAAAAATACAGCCAAGAGGAAGTGTCATATTCCAAACAACACTAAAAGAATTAGAATAATGGCTTTTCCCCGTAATAAGCACATATCTATGAGTTAACTGTTCTGCTGTCTCCTAAAGATGCATCCAAAAAATCCCCCTTTTTCATCCTTTTCTTTTTGTAAAAGTATGTTACATCTTAAATAATATTTTCATGTTCTTTATTTTATCAAGGGGCATATACAAATGCTTTGCCTACAATAAAATCTAATCCTATTTTTGAGACAATTCAGTCAACCTCTTTAATCATATGAAACCTTAAAGGTATGCTATGCACAATTTCCCTAAAAAACTATGTTCAGACTCATACAGAAGTAACCCCTCTCATCACTTATGACCCATTGAAAGTGTGTGGCATTGTATTTTTCTGCAGAGACTCTGCCCTCTGTCTGTTCTTTCTCATTTCATTCTTATTCTCTGTGTTCGCTCAGGGCTTTATAAAAAGGCAGTGACCAGGTGTCAGACTGTAAGCTGCAGACATTTGAGAGACACAGCGTCGAAAAACGCAAATATAGCGAGGCGAAGCACCAAACCAGAGTGAATCTGGGGTTGGCTTTTACTTTCACAAACAGGAGCCAAACATCCTGCATAGTATACCGTAAAAGTGATTTGAATTTAATTGATTAGCTACTATTTTGAAAAGCAATTTTAGTGGTTCTTCTCGAGCAAAAATGTCAAAGATTCTGAAGTTCCAGCATTTAAATTGTGATGATTTACTGCTTTTGGCTTGTGTAATGGTAAACTAAATAACTCTGGGGTCTGGACAGTTGGCTTGAAAAAACTGTTTAGAAAATTAAAGTAGGCATTTTTTAGAGCAATCAATCAATCAGTCAATCCATCAAGAAAATAATCTACAAATGAATCCCTCATGACAACAATCAATGCAGCCCTATAGTAAGAGTAACCACCCTTTTTGGTTGAATAATGAGCCAACAGTAATGTAAATGTGACATTGTTACTGGGTCAGTATAACCACATCTTGGTATGGCTGAATAACCCAGTGGATATAAAACAAATTACACTTAAACTGGGTCAAAATAATCCAGTGATTTGGGTATAATTGGTGACCCAGTGGTTATATACCCAAGGGTACTGGGTTATTTTGAACGAAAGCAATGGGTTTCATGTTTGACTCGAACTGGGTTAAAATTCCCCCAGTATTTTTTGTGTGTAGTTATTATTTATCAGCAGTTGTATCTTATTCAAATAGAGCTGCAACGGTTAATTGATTAATCAAATAAATCGGCAAGTATAGTAATTTGATAATTGATTAATCAAGTAAGTTTTTTAAGATAAAAGTCAAAGTTTCCAGCTTCTTACATTTGAATATTTTCTAGTTTCTTTACTGCTCTGTGACAGTAAACTGAATATATTTGGGTTATGACTGACACAGACATTTAAGGATGTCATCTTGGGCTTTGGGGAACAACGATCAAAATGTTTTACCATTTTATGTCATATTTTAGATCAAACTAACCGACTTTCAACTCTCAAAGTCATCCCTAAATAAATCAACCAACAGGAAAGACATGTGGAGGCTGCACAGCATGACATTCCAAGCAGCTAAAGTTATTTTGGCTGCAGATTCTCAGGCCACTGCGGTCTGTCCAGTTCAAAGTATTAGACATATAAACAACCTACACACAGCTGTCATGCTGTGAAAATCTGCTAACCCTAAACTTGTCAGTTCTGAAGCTTCGGATGAACTCAAAATGTTCAATTTACAAACAAAGCTGCTTTTCACCACTGCTGAGAAACTGACATTTTGAGGAGTCAAAGTTTTCACCCCAGAGAAAAAAATGAACTGTCAGCTTTATTCTCACAGACAAAATGACATTTACAACTAAAACTAAGATGATTTATGTACAATAAAGCACTTGACTGTTGCATGGTTTTATAATTGGATTATAATCCCCAGTCACAGCGGAGCTCTGTGCACGTGACGGGAAATACCAGTTCTTTGGATGTGTGCGATGACACACAAATGCTCCTGTTTGGATAGAAAAAAGACATGGTGTTCATGTATGTGAAGCGAGGCTGTGTGAACAAGGAGGTGACAAAGCGAGAGGACGCGGCCTGACCCTGTGGGAACCTCGTTTGGTTGAGTGAGCAACCATCAGCTTGGGGAGCGTATTGTCTTCTGTGAGGAAAAGAAGGTATTGGGCTTTATCGAGCTCAAAGAAAAAAAATCACTTCAGCTCCGGAAGAGAGCAATAAAACCTGAAAGTAGCTGATACAGTGAAAAAGACTGTGAAAACAACTCTGTGTCAACGCAGATCCTGGCATCTGACGTTAGCCGGTCGAATGGGAATCCATCTGTGGGGGCCAGCAGCTGACCTTTGACCTCAGCGTTTGGGAAACCATGACAGCTGCCGCTAACATGAGTCTACTGCACCAAGGGACAGTCTGAGCCGGTAACAGCTGAGCAAAGACTGAAATGTAAACTTTCCCGATTGTGGAGGACTTCAAGTAACTTCCTCTTTGTTAACTTGGGACTCATATTTCAACATTTCAAGAGACCTGCATGAAAGAAAATACATGAACTGTATGTTTTCTACCATGTTAGTTAGTTAGTTAGTTTGAATCAAAAATATCTCAAAATGCTGTATAGACAGACTTTAGAGGCCTTTGAGGAGATGGATTTTAGAACTGCAGTTAATGATCAAATAATCAAATAATCAAAGAAATGATTACAAATGTCTTTTACGAGTTCCCACAGCCACAAGTGATGTTTTTTTGTGCTTATTTTGTCTGACAATAGTTGGTTAGTTTTACTAAAAAGGTATTCGAAATGAGATAAAATAGCAAAGTGCAGCAAATTCTCAGATTTCCCAAGAGGAAAACAGCAAATATTTGGCAATTAGGCTCACTAAATGGGTTAACTGATTAACTGATTACCGAATTTTGAGCACAGAAGCTCATTTTTGACTTCTGGGAACAACAATATGTAAGAGAGTACATTACCAAATCTCATTTATTCATTCATTTTCCATAGCTGCTTATCCTGTTGGGGGTCACAGGGTGAGTGGAGCCTATCCCAGCTGACATTGGGTGAGAGGCAGGGTTCACCCTGGACAGGTCACCAGACTATCACAGGGCTGACCCATAGAGACAGACAACCATTCACTCTCACATTCACACCTACGGACAATTTAGAGTCACCAATTAACCTGCATGTCTTTGGAATGTGGGAGGAAGCTGGAGCACCTGGAGAAAACCCACGCTGACACGGGGAGAACATGCAAACTCTGCGCCGAAGGTGACAAACAAGATGATCAGTACCACTTAGGGCTGTGACGATAGCCATATCACTGCAAAACTGTGGTCATTTAACTCATTACTGATGGTGTAATAAACTTCACAATCTCTTCTACTGACATCACAAAAACAGACTGTTTCCGCTGGTAACGTTCTGCTGTTAGTAATTGAGGTAACTGGATGTAACTTCAGTTGGATGAGTATGAAAAGGAAAATATAAGGAGAAGAGGAGGGAGTGAGACTGCACCTGGATGCTGGCAAAGGACGTGACCAGATTATTATAGTTTATAAAAATGCAGTGCAGTGATGACGCAGACATTTCATACATCAGCCCTATAATGCAGACCTGCCAATGAGTATGTGATTGGCCTGCTGACATATGAGTCAGTCGTCCCATCATTGTGCTCGTCATTGTGGGTAGAAAATCCAGTCTGCAGGTTATTATATACACTTCTCTGATAAAAGCAGGGAATTATACAGTAACATTCATGATGCATATGTGCATAGTGTTCTGTGCATAGGGCAGAGGTATTATAAAGTCCAATAAAACACTCAGGCCATAATTTTCGGGAGGCAGCAGAGGGGGGCATTGGCAGTTAACAGCCTCACCGCCATACTGTCACAGCCTTATCAATACCACTTGCATATTTGGCTATTAACTTTAAAGTTTACAGCCAGAAGCAATGGTTTAGCATGAAGACTGGGAACAGCTAACCTGATTCTGTCCAAATACAAAAAAAATCCATCAACCTGGTCTCTAAATCTTTTTAATTAACACGTCATATCACATTTGTTTAAGTGTGTTCACTCTCAGTAAGAAGGCAAACATCTGTATTCCTTTAAGGTACTTTTCTTTTACCAGAAAGGATAAAGATGTGAATAGAGGACATGTCTTGGTTTGGCAGAGAATAAACGAGCACATTCACATCAAAAATAGTAAAAACAGAAGCACACCATTCCTATCCTTGGCTCCTGATGTGTTGGGATCCCTCCAGATCAGCCTCATTTTCTGAGATGAGACTATTTCTGAGTCTTTGATATCGAGCTCCATTTGACTTTATCGTTTTTAAGATCCTGCCATCCGAAACGTTCCCTCAGACTCTGGTGGTTTCATTACACATCAGCCGGGTCACCCACACCTGCCCTTTCAGCTTCTCCTAAATTGGAGTTCATTTTCTCTTTCAGCTTTCTCATTTTCCTCTGTGATACAGTGATGGACGTTGAGGGAGCTCCTGCCTTCGACTCGCCCAGTTAACAGTCAGCGTGCGTTCAGTGACAGAGCAGATGAAATGAAAAGCACTTGATTGTCTGGAGGCGTTTTTCCGCAGTGTCTGTTCGAGAGCCTGCAGAGCTCAGTCCTCAAAACCAGGTCAAAACGTGCCATGAAAGCAGACACTGTTTTATTTCAGCACAGCTCATG